CTGAGGGGTACCGTTACTGCCAACAAGTCTTCGCCGAAAACGAAATGCAAACCTTTAAAGAGTTTCTCACTTGGTACAACAATCTGGACGTGCAGCCCTTCGTAACCGCGGTTGAGAAAATGTTAGATTTTTGGCGAGAAAGAAATATTGATATGTTTAAGGATGGGGTTTTAGTTCCTGGCCTCACCTTGAAATATCTGTTTTCTTTTCTCGATGAGCAAACCTACTTTTCTTTGTTTTCTGAAAAGAACAAAGATTTGTATCATTTATTCAAAGGTAACAATACCGGTGGCCCTTCTATCATTTTTCACCGCTATCACTAAGCAGGTAAAACGCAAGTCAGAGAAAGAGAGACGAAAGCTAAAGGAGAAGAGTGGAAACCATGTCAGAAAGTTGTTGGCTACGATGCTAACGCCTTGTACTTGTGGGCCATTATGCAAGAGATGCCGACTGGTTCCTACACTGTAAGGAAAGAAGAAAATAACTTCAAGCCGATCCACGTGGCAGCGTGAGATCTACATTAGAAATCAACTGAACCATACTGAGAAGCGGATTGGTGCTAGGCAGTCCGTCCTGTGGACGGATTTGATAGTGCAAATTAAACTGTGTTTCAATTTCAAGGTAAATAACAGTAACGGTAACGTTAATTTTATATTTCTTTATAAATTTCTTGTTTGTTAATTATTTGTTTATTTTCCCAGGGTGCTGGTATCATGGACATTCATGCCATTTAAACAGAGGGAAAGAAAGYAATGAATATCGAAACAAGACCATGAAAGAGKTCCGCYACGAAACCGAAGCTAACAGCGAATACATCCGCGGCCAAGGCTACCAACTGATCAAGATGTACGAGTGCGAATGGCGGCGAATGAAGAAAGAAGATCCACGAGTGCGCGCCTTCATGACSAACACCTTTAAAAGACCGTTGGATAACCTTTGGACCATGACACCAGACCAAATCGTGACTGCKGTTCTTCATGGTTCGCTTTTCGGGGTTGTAGAGTGCGATATTCATGTTCCAGACCATTTAAAGCCACACCAGTGAAATGTGCCCGATCTTTAAGAATACCGAGATAAGCCGTGACGATATATGGGAGTTCATGAAAGAATTTGCAGAAGAAGAAGACATCATGCCACGCCCACAACGAAGTTTAATTGGAAGTTACTTTGGAAAGAAAATCCTCCTTGCCACGCCTCTCCTTAAATGGTACTTGGAGCACGGTCTTGTGGTTACCCGTATCTATCAGGTGGTAGAMTATACGCCCAAGGCCTGCTTCAAACCATTTGGGGAGGCGGTATCTGATGCACGAAGAGCCAGTGACGTGGATCCCTCTAAAGCCATCATTGCTGACACGATGAAACTGGTAAGRATAGTTTTAAAGTGACTGACCAATTTTGAATCCACAGTGACTATCACTTCTTTTACTTGTAATTAAACTTAAACGTTATTTTTTTTTGTCATTTCAGGTCGGAAACTCGAGCTATGGCAAAACCATCACGAATKGTATTAAGTACAATCGGCAAAGAAACACATTAATTTAAATCTCCCAATTCAAGAAGGGTTTTTTGTATATCAGTATGCTAAACTGCGCATGCTTGAATTTTATTACGACTTCATGGATAGATATTTAGATCGAAAGAACTTTGAATATATTCTTATGGATACGGACAGTGCCTATGCTGCCTTGGCAGGTGAGAGTGTCGARAGCTTAGTTAAAGAAGAACTTAGAGATGAATATGAGAGTAATAAGSATAAGTGGTTTCCTCYTACCGACACCGCTGAACATCGCGCTTATGACAAGCGAACACCTGGGTTATTTAAAGTTGAATATCAGGGGGAGGGTATTATCGCTTTATGRAGTAAAACCTATTATTGCTTTGGTCAATATGACAAATTCAGTTGTAAGGGAATCAACAAAAAATGCAACGAAATTACAAAAGCTAAGTTTCTCAAGGCAGAGTGCGTCAGGAATAAATCGTGGTTTTCGATATATCAATCATCAAGTATTAACATATAAGCAGGAAATGGCTGGTTTTTCCTTCTTTTATCCCAAGAGGAAAGTTTTAGAAGATGGAATTTCAACAATCCCTTTAGAAATTTGAATGAAAGGTTTTTTAAATGAAAACAATTTTTTTTAATATAAGTATTTTTATTATAACAGGGAACCATAACGTTGTTTGAACATTGTATCATAGGAAGTAAATAGTTAATGAAGAAATATTTTTTTACATGAATAAGTATGATGAAATTAGTTACTCATGCTTTTTATTGAATGAATGAAACTCGATTCTAAAAAGAGATGGTATGCACTATCAACTTCACTTTGTGGATCTCAACCCAAAATATTGGCCAACAACAAAGTATTTACGTACTTCAACYACGAGAATCACGYAGTGAAGCGTAAGGACTTGTGGCGGGAAAATGGTGAGGTTGTAAACCGAGAATTTTCGATGGTGGGAAAGACAAAGAAGAAGTTAACGTTGCCTCCATGTTTGGCATATGCGCGGAGCTTCTAAGGCAGCGAGATTTTAAGCCAGATGGCTTTGTGTGATCGCCCTTCTTCCAGAAGATCGTGGAATCCGTTAACAGCGTACATGCGCCGTGCTGCGAAGATAATAATGTTGATGAGGTTAAACAAGATTCAAACTTTTTGACGCCAAAGAGCTCAAAAATAAAAAAACTGCAGTTGCAAATAGACTTTTTAAAGACTGAAGCATCGAATTTTCTAACTCCTCCATCTTCTTTATCCTCAAAGAAGCGAAAATCTTTCAATGAGATAAATGACCTTCCACAAGATAATTCTCTTGGGCCGATTATAAAGAAGCGATACATAAGTTGTTACTGCAGGGAGACAATTCACTTAAAGATGCCCTTGCTCCAGATACTCTTGGTACTATAATTGGATATYGTTGCCTTTATAAAAAATAGGCAGTCGAGGACTGCATGTGACTCAGGCTGAATGAGGCAGATTATTGATTAGTTGTTGTTGAGCGTAAATCCACTGCAAGTGCACTGCATTATTCTGTTTATTTTTGGTCTTTGGTGTATGACAATTTGTTTCAAGGTTTTATGAAAAAAACTATTATAAGTGACTAAGTGACTTTGAAAAAACAAAGGAAATATATAGCTATATATAGCTGTAGAACATCTACTGTGAAAAATAAGCAAAAACTTCAGTATTTTGTTTTAGTAACTTTCTTTAAAACTGGTTAGATTTTTTCAGTATTTTTTTTTTTAATTCATTTTAGAGGAATGCATTGTTCGCTATTTTACAATAGTCTAGAACAGTTTTATCATTACAATAAAAATCCTTTAATAATTCAAGAAAAGCATTGTCCACTGGTGAACTATAACAAACATAACATCAATTCAACACGTTCTAGTAGCACTGTTCGATTTGTATACAAAACTGTACCAATTGATATGTCGTTCAATGATATGATCCCAGACTTCTTGGTACAATTCAGCACGTTGGAGTATTTCATCGCTTTTCTTAAAATACATTTTGATTATATTTCTTGGTTCTCGTTGCACTTTTTTCTACTTCGTTGGGAGTGATGTTTTGTTTCTATTAATTCAGGTTGTAGATGAAACGGGCCTTTTTCCCCGACATTCATGTCGTTCCAAAAGGCAGAAAATTCACCCCAAGATTCCATTCCATCAACTGAAACTTGTGTAAGCTGCGAAAATGTTTATTTCTCTGGATTTAATTTTTTTGTTTTCGCTTCATTTTGCAAGTTGAATGAGAGCTGGTCCAGTTGGACAAAGGCGTGGGTATGTTTCTTATCTTTATTTTTGCTTTTATTTCTGATTTTCTTTGATAACACCATGTGAAATATTTCAGTTTCACTAATTTTTGAGTCGGTATTGTTTGTGTTTCTTTGATTCTTTGCAACTCTGTTGTTCTTTTGTAGGATTTTGTAAACAGCCTGCCGCCGCAGGTGGATCAGTATGGGACTGGACAAAATAATCCCCCTGTAAGTATTGCTTTATCATTTTTGTCTTTTTGCTTTTTATGATGCTATATTTATTTTGGTTTTGTTTTGATCACAGCAAACATTTGACTGTCCTATCTGTAACCGAGCTTTCCGGAGAAAAGATAGTCTCAAGAGACATAGGGACTCTGTTCATGCACCGCGACCCGCCCATGTATGTGAGCATRGTGGGGAACAGTTTCGCTTCAAAAGCCATCTTACCAAACATCTTAAAAAACACAAGCAAAACAATATTTCAGCCACATTCACATGTAATCAGTGTGGTCAAAGTTTCAACTTCGTTAGAAATCTGAAGCTCCATGTGGAAACCGCTCACCCTCAACCTTCAACAAGCGGTGGCGGCACTTCACCTGCACCAAGGAAAAGAAAAYCGCTCGAAGCTGAAAACCGACTGGAAAAAGTCGGRGGATAACAGGTAGATATTAAGCAATATGACGAACAAAATTTCAAAGATGGGATATTTTCATAAAATGCTTTCTTTTTTCTAATATTGACTTTTTCTAGAACCCAACAACCGACTTTCCAGTTTTGACGCGGACCCTTTTAATATGCCTGACAACCTGTATACACAAGTGGACTCTGATATTCGACAAATCATCCAACAACATAATTCTTGTTACATTATTATATCATGAATCTACTTTTTATCTTGTTTTTAGATACCTTAATCAGATGGGTGTTCAAGCTTCGCATTTTAAAGGTGTCACTCTGGAGGAGCTGGGTGATCTCGAACAACTGTTTTCAACCAATATAGTCGTTTACAGTTTAAACTGTGAGGAACGTAACGATGAAACAGACGAACATTTACCTCCAGTTATTGCTGCTACGTTGGTCCATCGCTCGCACCACCATTATCAAGATACCATGTACCTGAATCTTTATGYAAACCACTTCTCCWATKTCAAGAATCTATCCAAGTATTGTAAATCGTTCAAGTGTTCAAAGTGTGGAAAGTTGTGGAAACACGCCGGTATGTTGCATCGCCACGAACTGACCTGCGAGGCCAAAACTCGTCTGAATTTCCCTGGAAATGCTTACGTTGTCCGGCCAACAATTTTTGATCAGCTTTCCGATGAAGGAATCAACATCCCTGAGCATCTACGATACTTCCAGCATTTCGCTACATTTGACTTTGAAAGTATGTTTTCAAAGAACAYTCTWCCCGAGAATACCACCAAATTACAGTGGGAGAACATTCACGTACCGCTAAGCGTCAGCGTCTGTTCAAACGTGCCTGAGTTCAAAGATGCAAAGTGTTTCATAACAAATGGCAACTCACACGATTTGATCAAAGATTTTATTTGTTATCTAGTGGAGATCAGTCAAGAGAATTATCGTTTGCTGTTGGGGGATTTTGAAGATATTTTTGCTGAAATCGAGCAAAAGATTAACGAACATGGCGTTCGTGTTCCTCCAACCGTTACAAGCGATGATGATTTAGCTGAGTTGTTGGTTGAACTCCAAGAAGAGAGCGAACATGAAGATGATCGTGGTATTYACGTTCTTGAGATCGACGACGAGGATGACGAGTTTATTCAATCAGAGYATGACTATGATAGAGCTTTCATTGARGACTCAGTGGATAGTCAAGGAGCTGACTTTTACCGAGCGCTTGATCGAGATTTAGATGAACGCCAAGATGTGAGAGAAGATGTTGAATCAACAACGGGTGACGACAGTCAAGAGAAGAAAAGGCCACATCCTCTGGTTAAACTTAAGGTATTGAATTATAGATATATTGTTTTCTCTCGTTATGGGCTCTCTGTGTTTTTTCACTTCCAGTAGTTAATTATTCATTTTTGTTTTTTCACTTCCGGCTGCTAATTTATTCATTTTCCTTTACTTCTATTTTAGGAAAAATTAGAGGGTTATCTTAAAYAGCTTCCGGTCCTGGGATTTAATTCAGGGAAGTACGATCTGAACGCCACCAAACAGTTCCTCCTTTCCTATCTGGTGCAGAATGAATCTGTCCTCTTCACTATWAAGAAAATGAATAACATCATGGCGCTGAAGACCGAACACCTGAACTTCTTGGATATCACAAACTTCCTAGCACRTGGTTTCAGCTACGACCAGTTTCTGAAAGCCTACGAGTGCGAGCAAACCAAAGGTTTCTTCCCTTACGAGCGGGTTGACAGTCTTGAAAAYTTAGATTATCCTGTCTTACCACCCCACAGCGCCTTCTATTCATCGCTTATCAACAAAAACATCAAAGAGGAAGAGTATGCCTTTTGTCAGCGCGTTTGGACAGAAAACAATATGCAGTGCTTTCGTGAATTTCTGGTTTGGTATAATGATGCTGATGTTAAAACCCTTCGTCCAAGCAGTTGAAAAGATGTTGGATTTCTGGCGTGAGCGTGATATCAACATGTTTAAAGATGGTGTTTCTGTCCCAGGTTTTACTATGAAATATCTGTTCTCTAACCTGGATGAAGAGACCTACTTCTCCCTGTTTGACGGAAAAAATCAAGATCTCTACGAGRTGTTTAAAGATAATAATACAGGTAAATGAATTTCCCAATCATGGTTCGAGCCTAGTCATAGCT